GTAACCTAGCTTCAATTCACAAGGACTTAGGTGACCTTGAACAAGCAAAGGAGTATCAGCAACGTGGTTTAGCCATCGAACTCAAGAAGCTTGGTGCTGAACATGTTTCTGTTGCAACAAGCTACAGTAACCTAGCTTCAATTCACAAGGCCTTAGGTGACCTTGAACAAGCAAAGGAGTATCAGCAACGTGGTTTAGCCATCGAACTCAAGAAGCTTGGTGCTGAACATGTTTCTGTTGCAACAAGCTACGGTAACTTAGCTTCAATTCACCATGACTTAGGTGAACTTGAACAAGCAAAGGAGTATCAGCAACGTGGTTTAGCCATCGAACTCAAGAAGCTTGGTGCTGAACATGTTTCTGTTGCAACAAGCTACGGTAACCTAGCTTCAATTTACAAGGACTTAGGTGACCTTGAACAAGCAAAGGAGTATCAGCAACGTGCTTTAGCCGTGAAACTCAAGAAGCTTTTCTAACTTTTGTGCTAGAACCTTGGAGAGAAAAAAAGTTTAGCTAGGTATAGGGAACTGGGTGCCAGCTTTTGCTCTTCCCTTCTCCTCGCGATACGTAACGGGAGCCTTATTGCTATTGCTGTACACAACCACATGTAAGCCGATGTCAAATCTCATTTTCACAACTACATAAAATGACAATACCCCGCCAGTTATATATGCTACAAATATGAAGATTAATTGACAACTGTCAAAATCGGGCAACCGCTGACTAATATCGCATGACCTTCAGGCTGGTTCAGGTTGTCAGACCGGTCCTTTTCCCCTTACGTGTAAGAAGATATAAAATGTCACACTTAACGATATAGGGCTATTAGATCAGTGGTTAAAGTCACATCAGAGATTCTATTATGATAGAAATGGAAACGTATAGATACAAAATATTTTGGTAGTCAAGTGACCGCCACTTACACTTTGGAAGAGAAAAAAAAACGAACATAAAGCCAAGTCTTTTCCTCGACTGAATTTTAATGTCTTCATTGACGTGGATGACGTTGGAAGAAAAGTATGAAATTTTTATCGTGGTGGTAAAAAAATGAGAAGTGCTAGCGAACAGCAAGGTGAAAATCAGCGGCAGTGCCAAAAAATCGAACAGGAAGACAGGCAAGAACATACGACATTTCTTCCATAAACGTGTTTTAAACTAGGAAGTTTCATGCTGTTGTTGTGCAACAACAAAGGAAGAGAAATGTACAAAAAAATGTGCTGCACAATTAGACCTTTCTCGTTGCCGTTGCCGTTAAGAATTACACTACTGTATTTTATTTTTTGATGGAGTAACTTATAAGTATATTAACGAGAGTTTCGCTTTTAGCCCTGGCTGCATGGGAAAGGAGCTATTGATGCATCTTGTTAACAAAAACGAAGATTTTCTAAGTCCACTACTGAATTAGTGTGGAGACAGCCTAAGATCCAGATACAAAAAGAGAGAGTAAAGTTTGTTGCTATATTCCCATTTTATTTCATTTACTTTCACTACCCGCTTAAACTCAGGCGTAGGTTTACCCAATATAGTGAGGATACAAATTGCAAAGTAATCTCAGCGCTAAAATTTCACGTTCCGACAGTTATACAAAAATACTGAATTATTCTAGCCTTAGAGGAATCATTACTAAATGGATAGATATGAGATATATCACTTTTATGCAAAAGCATCTTGCTTCAATACAAAGTCAAAGGGATTGAAATGGATTGCAAAATCAATATCTAATTCTGTCGTTTATTTTTCAAACTATTTTTATATAATTATTATATTTTTATATGCTTTCAAATAACTCTTTCACTCCAGAACGAATAATCTATGAGGTTGTTCTAACTTTTGAGTCTGCGCATGAAATCCGGTGGTGTGACCATTTAAATGAGACCTCTTTGGCAGTGCTGTTACGTGGACTATTTGCTTCTCCGAATTTTATGGAATGAAATTTGGAATTTCTGTCCATTTTAGACCTTGGCCTTTTCTGCGAGTGAAAGAGTTAAAGCAACTACTATAGGCGGTGTTAGGATAACAAAACAATATATTAGACAAACATTAATTCAAAGTTAAGTAACGCTTTTGTAAATAAACAGTACCATATCACGCAATGCTTTGGAATGCTACTTTCTTCCACCTATAAAAGACTAAAAATCCCTTTTAAATAGAGAAAAATGTTAATGAACGATATACTTCTCTATTAAACGGTCCCAGGTCACCAGGTATGGACCTCGCCTTACAATTAAATCAGCCCAAAGCCCATTCTTTCCAGGAAAGCTTCAGGATGAGATGGTTGGTCCCTAGCCCCACTCAAGATTACTGAGACTATTCTAAGGGAACAAACCAGTGCCGGATCCAGACCTTGAGATAAGCGGTGCCCGGTCAGAGGAGTCTCCATTTTTTTTTGGCCCTTCGCGCCACAGTTTGGTCATGGGCTCCTAGTTTGGTTTAAAAATAAGGGGGGGGGGAGGGGGCTCCCGGACCCTTCCCCTGGATCCGCTACTGCAAACAATTAACACCACTAAGACGTAGTGAAATCATGTTAAAACTGGACACAGCTAGTTGTCACCTTTCGAAGATGTACATCTCTCAAAGTGGTTTTTCCGTGAGGTAGACATCTCTCTATGAAGGACTAAAAATAAGCCAAACACCTTTTTATGATTGACACCCCTAAGATAGTTACTTGTTCAAGATGGCCAATGTGCAACACAGACACTACTCAGGGGTTGTAACTTGGGGGCTTTTGCTTGTAGTACGTAAGTCTCCTTACAGAAACACAGACAGAAGCCCGTATTGAGCAGTACGCTCCCTAGGGTACTCCCACACCAGACAGTGGCATGCAAGCGACCTTTTTTAGCTCGCCGGAGAAATCACGTGGTTTCCGTTCCGGTTTGAACCTTATAAAAAAGGCGCGAATATGTAAAGCGCGAGATTAGACCGCAGGGAAGGATAAATGGTAAGCGACATTCTGTCTGGTTCAAACCGACCGGAATGATTGGACTACCTCAAAACGTAGTCCTAAATGTTCGGTTGGAATTTCCGAGAAAATGACCTTAACAATAACCTTCCATCCAGACTTTTCAGGATTTCCGGCTTGGTGGCAAGTGCCTCTGGTATCCAGAATCTGCTCAATACCCCTATTTGTCCCAAAAAAATGTATATCATAAGAAAGGATTTTGGACTTGCTAAATATAGCCTCAATATAGGCGTCAAAAGGGGCTAGAGAGGAACGGAAAAAGGGAGGGGGTGGGGATAGAGGGTTAGGACTCCCGTCCCTTTTCCGCTTTCCTGCTTTTCTCTCCTCTCTCCCTTCCCTTTTTGCGCCTGCCACGCAGGCTAACTAAATAGCACGCGACTGTTTAATACTTTCTTAACGAAATGTCTAGCAAAACATAAAAATTAGTCTCTATTTATTCCTATTCAACTTTTGGCTCCTTTACTTTCAAATAAGGATTTCATGGCTGTAATTCGCTGTTGCCGCTTATCCTGAAACCGAATAAACACAGAAATAACTATACCGAGTTAATATTACAGTTAACCACGGTTAACGTTGTAAACAATTTTGGCATTGCTTCAATTTTGTTGAGTATAACCCCCTTATCAGACAAAATGACAAAACCGAGACGTGGTTTTTATGATTTTAGTGACTTATCTTAAACATTTAAAGGAACAGTATCCCGTTACTGCGCGTGCACCAAACTTTGATTTTTGGACAGGGTGTCGCGAAATCAAAAGATGCGTGGAGAATTAGAAAACCTTGAAAAATCCGTTTGCATCGCGCTTGGCCGAGTTCGATACTCCACTAAAACTTTTCAGGGTTACAGATCAATGATATATTGTCTCCGTTGAGTTTCTATTTGGGCGAAATCGGGATTTTTTTTGGCGTTACTTTTATTGCCGCTGGTCGGAGGGCCTCAAGATGGGAAACGCTTTGATGCCGATTGAAAGCTTATTTCTTCTGCCAGCTTTCATACAAGCTTAGATAATTGTGAAAGGAATACGCAGAAATGAAACAGCAACAATAGAGACTGTAAGAAAGAAACCATTGAGACATGGATATGACTGAGGAGATCTTGTGGAATTAAGCTTCGTGTAGCGGAATGTTTTGCAACGACGCGTTAGTAAACTTTTAAATGAACCTCCCTACGGCCGACAAAATCAAACAAACAGACGCTGCATGCCTAGTGCAATGAAATCATGATATAATTTTTTACTAACCTTTGCGATAATTCATCGCGTTTAGATTCCATTTTTATTTATATCTTTCAAACGTTTAAGGCTAGAACGCGAGCAAATCAGGCAAATATTACTGGGCGTGGATCAATTGACCTCTGACACGAGTTTCACATTAGAAAAGGTATTTTTAAAGCGAGCGGAACGAGATTTTCGGGTCGCGAGGCGGCCCTGCTAGTGACAAAATCGCGATGAGTCTTCGTGGTGCGAGCCAATTTTAAATAAGACGAAAAACTTCTTCGAAAGTCTAAAATTTTACTTGAGAATGTAAACAACAAATCTCCGTTGGTGGTGCGGTTCGAAAGGAAATCTTGTCGAGTCAATATGACAGTTCTATTGTCTTTTAAAGATGACGCTCGCGCGTGCGCACAATCGGGACACTGACCCTTTAAACGTTGTCTCTTAGATGTTTGCTTGCTGGACAACGTAATTGATTTCCGCAATACTAATCCACTGGATAGCAGTTTATTCGGTGGAGAATGTTACACGCCTTGAGCAACTATTGTAGGACCTATACACTGGCAACAACTTGGTTTACCGTCGACCCTCGCAACACCCTGAATTAAAGGTGGAAATAAGCTAGCGGAGGTGTCTAGTTCACGGAAAGAAGCTATTATTGTTACAGTGCCATATTTCTTTGAAATAAAACCTTGCGACTTTTTGAGCTGGGTAGGATACTTTTTGCTTCGTTAAATTCAGAGATAAGTTGTTCTCCGCATATAATTTGTCCTATCATTGTTTTACAATGCTGTGTTTTCACGAATGTGGTCGTCGCCAACATCATCATGACTTTGCCTCTTTTCGGTTCTATGGGAGAATTTGATCCAAGCACACAGACATTTACTGTTTGTGAAAGGTTTGAACCCAGGAGTCATTTCATAAGTATGTGAAACATGATCGTCCGTGTCGGTGTGGAGAGGGCCATCATATGTGTTATTAACAGAAGACAACGAGTCTGGCATGGTGATCTTGTCCCATTTGTTAGTGAGTTGCAATGTACGTAAGCAGCTGCAATGTACGTAAGGGGACAAGTCCCATTGCTCGTGTCTGCAAGAAGAGACGAGTGAACACTTCGACTGTCGAGAAAGAGGTGCTCGAAGAATCTTCGAGCTGTATACGGCTGTCTAGGATAAGAATGGCATGTCCAAGACAGAAATCTCTGTTCCAGGAGAGGAGTGCATGAACACTTTGAATGTCGAGGGAGAGTTGCTCGAAGAATCTTCGAGCTGTATGCGGCTGTCTAGGATGAGAAGGCCATGTCCAAGTCAGAAATCTCTGTTCCATTAAAGATCCAACACATTGTTTGTTCTATGCAGTTAGACACCCTGTGTGCTCTTCTTTTTCTTTTAAAACCGTTTGCCCTTATGTTAAGCTGAAACCGACAGCACTCTCAACCTATACAGGTGAAACTGTGCGCCCCTTAGTAGAAGCATTTGTGCATGTACAGCATTCAGGATGGCAGCGATTTCCGCCTGTATTAGTGGTAGAAGGAGGCAAATCTGCCTCATTTGGTCGAAATTGGCTCATGGATGTGAACCTAGATTGGAAATATCTGCTTGATTTAAACCTGCCTTCATCGATACCGTCAGCTCCTTTGAGAAATAATAATGATGAGTTATTTCAGCCTCAACATGAGTAATGGCACCGGCGCACCTGTTGTGCTTAACGAAAGATAGAAGCCAAATTCTACAAAGCCAGAGCAGTTCCTTACGCTCTTCAGCCAAGGTGGGAAATACTCTGCTTTAAGTGAAAAAGGATGGTTTGATTGAAAGAGTTACTTCTTCTGTTTTGTTGTTGTTGTTGTTGTTCTTTTTTTGTTGTTGCACGCGCTTTCTGGTTACCTCAGTAGGGTAACAGCGTCGGTCTGCTGAACGGAAGGTAGCGAGTTCGAATCCCGGCCGGACCAACACTCAGGGTCTTTAAATAACTGAGAAGAAAATGTTGCCTTTGTAATGACATTTGCAAATGATTAGCCTTTCTAGTCTTCTCGGATAAGGACGAAAACTGTATGTCCGTCTCACAGCACTTACACATACCTGGTTCTTGTGGAACGTAAAAGAACCCACACCTCTCTTCGAAAAGAGTAGGGGACGTAGACCTTAGTGGTGTTATCAATCTTCACCAACACATCACATCATTCTTCTTCTTCTTCTTCTTCTTCTTCTTCTTCTTCTTCTTCTTCTTCTTCTTCTTCTTCTTCTTCTTCTTCTTCTTCTTCTTCTTCTTCTTCTTCTTCTTCTTCTTCTCCTTCTTCTTCTTCTTCTTCTTCTTCCCCCTCATTGTACTAGTTAAGAAAAAAAAGCTAGCAACGAATTTTCCGTCTTTGGAGAGTGGGAATGTGGAAACGTTGCCCATGCCTCAGATCGAAAACATACATTTTGCGCTAAAGGTCGACAGCGCATGGTGTTTAGTGTTTTGGACATTACTTGCAAGCGTATTCGTTAATTACGATGAGACACTGCCTCTTTTCATTTCATTTGATGCTTCATCTTATGGGGCTAGCTGGTGCTGTCCTGTCGTATCAGATCGGGGGACACTTCACTACCCAGATCTGGGTAGTACTTTTGATTGGTTGAATCAAATTTCCCCGGCGGCACGACCAATCAGAAGCACTACCCAGATCTGGGTAGTGCGCTTTATTAGTATGGAATTTCTGCACTCGTTTCTCAGACGTCATTTGGCGGGGAAACCAGTGGTAGCGTCGCCAAATGTCGGCTGTGTTCTCAGGTTATGTGTGTTCACCTCTCGTAAGCCGCCACCACCCGAAAGCGACCATCTGTCCAACATGCCAGAAACAAACAAACAAACAAACAAATTCATACATACATACTTTATTGACTTGCCTCATAGAAGCTTTTAAAGACAATAATTTAAATTAATTACATACAACAATAAAAGATAATAATTTACTACGGTAAAAATATTTACAATAATATTTTAACAGAAGTATAATCTATTTAGATTAATTTAACAACTGCTTAAAAACTCTAAGAAAAATATTCAAACTAAAACTAAATTGACATGATAAAATACTCAAGAATCTATAAAATCCTTGACGAGTTTACCTTTTAGATTGAACTTACAGGCAAATACTGACTTGATTTTTAAGATAGCTATGCATGGAGTTCCAGATACTGATTATTCTATAATAAAGCGTCCTCTGACCAATAGCAGTCTTGAAAAGTAGAATGTTCAGCATCCCTAAACTCCTCGTGGCCCGCCCACTTATGATGAAGTGGAAGGTACTAAGGCACGCGGGATGGCATTTAAAGGCCATGATAGCGTCCGGGGCGTGGTACTGCCCCATAAAAGCGACGGGGTACTCGTCGTACCTATTAAGAGGTTTAAATTTGTGGATTGGTACCCCTTAGGGTTCTAAAACCTAAAATAACTGCTGCCAGAGTTGATCCGCTTTATTAGGATGAAGAGTATAACACTATCCTTTCAAAAAGTCTTTGAGAAAAAAGTGTTCAAAAGTTATCTTTATTACTATTAAAATTTGCAGTGCCAGTTATATAATTTGTTATTTTTGAATTGGTACCTGTTAGGGGTGTTCTCGAAATTTTCCGGCGAGCAACCACGTCACTTTTATAGGGGCTTACCCCCCGGGTGATAGCGTTCCTAAAGTATAACTAAGTTGCTACTGGTAGCCATTTAAGCTGTTTTAAAACTGGTGTGATGTGCTCATATTTGTGCGTACTGGTTGCAATTCGAGCAGCAAAGTTCTGAATACTTTGTAATTCACTTATGTTACTTTTTGATGTATTCACCCATACGTTCGAACAATAAAAAAGTTTGCTAGAAGCCGGCGCGTTCATAGTAGTTGGTGGGCTGCGTTTGTCAAAAACATGCTTCGTGTGGCTTATTTGACTGAGACAAGACATACAGGAGGAGATAGCTTTAGTAATGTGTTCGTCATAGGTTAGGTTAGTGTCTAAGATCACCCCAGGGTCTTAAGCGGTCTGTTCCGGTCACTCGCAGCCTCACTTTCAGAGAACTAGTACCAATCTGGAATGCATTTGCCTGCTGCCAAACACCATAAAGTTACTTTTGCTTGCGTTAAACAATTAAAAGGTTGCTGGAACACCATTGGCCTATTGCATGTCAGTCATCTCGTAAGTCGGCCAAGGCGATTACAGCATCTTTTTTTTTTAAGGATATAACTAGGTTAGTGTCATATACATAGCTCTGGACGCTGCATTTCTGTGGTGCTGAAGGAACAACATAAATGTATTTTCATTTAGCTGATTTAAAAGCTTTCGATCGTTTGACACAAAAATATTTATCCACAAAAGCATATAATGCCTAATAGTCCTTACTAGTGGTTCCATCGTAAAAAAGCCTCTTCTCTTTTCATCCATATATTTGTAATTTGCTTTTAAAAGGTAAGAACAAACGACCAATATATGTGCTGTTCGATAAAATGCGCCTAAATGCAGTTGCATTTTAATCTGTCTTAAATTCTTAGATACATTTTCCTTTTTCTTGTTAATTTCGTATACAGTTGAACCTCCATTAAGCGGCTAAACTCTATTTAGCAGCTAGTAATTGAAGTCCCAAAGTAATTGTAGAAAAGAATTGTAGATTAAACCTCTATTAAGCGGCCATCTCTATCAAGCGGTCGCTGCCACCTTTAGCCATCCCGTCGAGAGTTTCCCATTGTTGCCACCCTTATTACGCGGCCATCAAGGACTTGATACACTCGGTTTGACTTTTTTTAAAAATGTGATTTAGGAAAATACAATCCCACCTGCAGGTGACAACCGATTGAGGACCAGTAATGGCGCCCTGTCGCCTGTTTTTTTCAAAATATAAAAGTGATGCTTCCGCTTAAGAATTATATGCTAATTTGCGAGGAACTTCTATTGAAAGGCCGGTCAACCTCCATTAGGAGGCCTCTTGTCAGTACCCCATGGGTTGAACTGTACAATAATACTCTTAGGAGAATTACAGTTTCATAATGTTTTGAGTGTTCTCACATGACGTCACGGCGGCCATATTTGTGTCCCAAAACAATGAAACGGCGGCCATGTTATGCAAACGCTTTAGTTTGTTCCCATAAATTTAGATGCTGGCCACGTGAGTGAAAACGCTCTATATAGTTTTTATTCTTATCCTGTACATGACACGACCCCATAAGCTTTTAGAGTGTTTGGTTTTCATACGGATTTGATGATATGTTCTATCGCGAGCCCGTGCGTTTCAATCCTTCACAACTTAACCTATAAACAACAGTTTCACCGCACCAAAACTAAATTACGTAAAGACATCTTCAACAAAGCATATACTAAACAAAATCATATAAAACAAAACCGTCCTCCCTTACAAAACTAATGTTGGTCGTGATTACTTAACTTTATGATCGTGATATTTGCCTTAATTTCACTTTGTTTTAAATTTACGGACTGGCCTTTTTTAATTCTTAATTCTACACTGTGTGTTTTCTTTACCGCCAGTTGCCTCCTGATTCGCAGCCAAAGCTTGTTTGAGGACAAATAAGAGAGAAAACAGTTACTTTCGGTACCATTGCTAAAACGTCAAGTTGATTTGTATAGGTAATAGCATGATTTGTAGTGATATTTGGCATAAATATCACAAGTGGTATTTACGCCAAATGTCGCGTACAAATCATGCTACTATTTGTTTATACTACTACCCACAAAAGGTTTGTAATTTTCACATGTAGGTATTTCAAATTAAGCTGAAATATCACTGCTCTCAGCCAATCAAATTGCAGAAATTTCTCATGCAGTAGTATAACAGTTGAAAGCGAGGATCACCAACGGCTCTTAGGGTTCATTAGATAATGACAAAAACAATTAATATGATTGCAAAATCATAATCCTGTCAGTGAGGATGATTATGTCCCTAGTCCTGAAGAGATTTTGTACACATCAAAACTCAATTGGCTTTCGTTAAGTCTCGGTAACCGTAAGTTCTCATACTGATACCGGATAACTGATCAGACAAGACTATTTCAATGTTGACAATGTTAGTAATCCGATTTTATCACGCAAAAATTTAACGTTTATTTCGTCGAACCAAATGTTTCCTATAGCTCATGAATAAACCTTAAGTAATAGTTGGTCACGTGATCAACATTTTGTAAAGAGACTAAAATAGTTCGAAAATTTTGTTAGCAGGAATTGAAAGAGCATTTCAAAATTAAGTAACGTGTGAATTTTCAGCCGTATACAAAAGGAGCGATTGCAACGGCCGCCAAAAATTAGAAGGATTTGTATGAGAAAAACAACTCTTGTCACCCAATCGCGTTTTAGTGGCTCTCCATACAACTCCTTGTAAATTTCGACATTTTTAAACTGTCGTTAAATCTTCCCCTTAGGCATTTAAGGGCTCAAATTGCCTGTTATGAATAAAAAGGAGATATGAGCCCCATAATACTGAAGGATACATTTTACGACAGTTTGAAAAATTTCCAAATTTACAAGGGTTTGTATGGAAGTGACTGGGTGGCAAGGGCTGAGTTTCCCATACAAATCCTTCTAATTTTCGGCGGCCGTTGCGATCGCTACTTTTGAGATTACGGTTGAAAATTACAGGTTACCTAATTTTAATATGCTTTTTCAGTTCCTGCTAACAAAATTTTTCAAAAGTGAACTGTTTTCGTGTTTATAGAAAGTTGATCACGTGATCAATTAATGCGAAAGACCCATTCAAGATCAGTTGAAGCTTAAGCCACCGAAACCCAAGAGCAAGTATCGCACTCAAGACTACAATATTAGATATCAGCATTGTGTTTATTTTACCAATCAGAACACCCTTTTTTTCCTTAGTTATTTTATAAAAGGATATCTTGTGGGGGATAATATTCAACGAATCGTCGAGTACGCATATAAAACACAAACACATTGAAAGGAAACAGCTAGTTTCAATCCTGGACGCTTGAGAACTACGATTCAAAAGATGTGTCATTCTCTTTTCCAATTCCTTGGCAACGCAGAATAGAGGAAAGATGAACTCAAGTCAAGCAAGAAACGTCTCCGTGCCCTCTCCTGTATGCTTGGCCGGTGAAAGAGACGTTGGAAAGCTTCACAAGCCCTCCTCTTTAATTCAAGGTTTTCTTATCTTTTACATAGTCATCAACATCATCCCTGTTCCTTTCACTGCCGTTTTGAACGCACTGGTGATTATCGCCGTAAAGAAGAAATCCTGATTGAGGGCGCAGAAGACGAACATTGTATTAGCCATGCTTGCATTGACCGATTTTCTGGTGGGAATTCTCGCTCAGCCCCTCTTCGTTGCGGGTCTGATAGCTATCTTGCAAATGGATTTAAGCAATGGCCGGTCGTGTTTTACCGAAGTTTTTCTTTTTGCTATCGCAAACTGCTTGTTATCTAGCTCGTTTTTGCACTTGTTGTTAGCAAGCGGAAAACGCTACGTCGCCATAAAACACCCCTTCGATTACATAACAATCGTCACAGAATCTCGTTTACTGATTGCATCGCTACTGGCTTGGGTTCTTTCTGTGATTGTGCAAATTCCACTTGCCGTTGATGAGACTGTGTTTTATATCCTGCACAGTGCAGTTATTGGTCTTTCTGTTGTTGTAATTGTTTTCAGCCATTTTTCAGTGTTCCTAGAAACTCGCCGGCACGAAAACCAAGTTGCAGCCCAGCAAGTTACACAGGAAGCCAGGAAACAATTTGAAAAAGATAAAAAAGCCTTCAAACTAACAGCTATTTTAGTTGGTGTTCTTTTACTGTGTTGTACACCGTTCATGTTTATTAGAATTGTGTTTTATATTCTGGAGTACGAAATCCACTTTGAAGCGTTTCATGTAATTGTTTTCTTCTCCACCACTGTAGTGTTTCTGAACTCGTTGCTAAATCCTATGATTTACTGTATCAGAATTAGGCAATTTCGTGTCGCGTTTATTGAGTTAACATTTAGAAATGCTAGCTTACCGAGGGCTGAAGAAATTGAGATGCAATGGTTTGGAGCGCCAGACGGTGCGAATAGACGTGAAACTGGGCAACATGAACGAGGGCAGGATCAACAAAACATCGAGTGAGCAAACGTTCGCGAACTGAACACTGCTGCAGGCTACTGATGCGTGTCACTAGGCCATGGCGATTCATGTTCTCGAAATGAATTTATGGAATCTTTGGTCGTAAAACAGCAATCAGCACAGAAATGGTAGAAAAGATCAATGATTAGGCTAGAATAGGTTATGTACATGTGTAGGTAATCTCTGCTAGACTGCACAGACTACAAAGCTATGTAATTTTACAAATTAGAAACCATGTCAATGAATTTTGGTTTTGCCCCAGGGGGGGTACTCGGGATTTCAAGTGACGGGGATGATCGAATGGAGCCAAAAGTCAAGACCCAAAAAAATCCATAGGACTCCCAGAAAAACCCAAAAAAATCCCTGGACCAAAAATTAACCCCAAAAAAATCCCGTGCCGATTTTGTGGTCCTTAAAAGTTCCAGAAAGGGGTAATGCTATAACACAAAGAAAAACATTGGAAATTTAAACAACAGCAAAACACGTTTGTTTGTACTTTATTCGCAGAACTACACAGCCAGGGAATTACCGATTCTTTTTAATACCCCAAAAAATATTTTGCCAAATTTTCGTACCCAAAAAAAATCCCGGAATCGAAAATTTCAAACCCAAAAAAATCCTTCGATCATCCCCATCACTTAAAATCCCGAGTACCCCCCCCCCCCCCCCCCCCGGGACCCCCCCCCCCCCCCCCCCTGGGGGTTTTGCTGCGTACCTTGTTGCTTTTTACTGTATATTATGTTTATATTTGCTAAGACGTGTCCTTTTGACCCTATCCTGAAATAAAGTGGTTTAACGATGTATCAGATCTTTGTTCAGCATTTCGTAATAATAATTTGTCACACTTTAGCAAAGGAACAAGGAACTTCGTTTTTGTGGAATTTAAGAACATTACATTACAGAGAGCATTACGAAATTCTTTATTACAGCTTATTTTAACTAAAAGCGACTGCGCTCTACTTTTCATGCTGAAACTGTATAAGTTGTTTAAAAACACCCTTAAGATGCAAAATAAAAATAGAGGATCCAAGCTCTTTTTATTATCGATCACAAATACTTTTTAATTGCCGGAAAATTTATTGAATTTCTTAAGTGGTAAATCAAGCATGAAATTTGCATAGACAGTCTTACAATAACAAAAATCAGTTTTCTTTTTGCTATTAATTAAATCAATTTGTACAAAACTGTTTTCGACTAGAAACTACGTGGTTTAAAAAATAGGGAATTTCTTGAATGTCTTCATTTGCTCTTATACATGGTCGTCTGGGAAGAAGAGAATACCACATCAGATCATAGATCAGTTTTTGAGTTTAATTTCTTCTTATCTGCGTAATAAACTCACGGGAATTAGGAGAAGCAGGTAATAAAACGAAAACCGATCTGTTGCTTTTATAAATAACTTAACATGGCAACAACATATTTCAGTTTAAATAGGGAAGGAAACATGAAGGTCTGTTAATTAGGTAGAACCCAAAGAAAAAAAATAAATCAAACCGCAGTTAAAATAATAACAAAGACAAAAAGCTGGCGGCTTCGACGATCGACAAAGGCAAAATGTATAATTTACAAATCCCACTGTGGCTGTCACAACCACTCATGGACGGTCGTGCAATTGATTTCAGTCAAAATTGGCAGAAGCGGAACCTTAATTTCACATATGAATTTAAAAAAGCATCACATTATAACCGTTAATAGACTCAATTTAGCACAATTTTTCTTAATAAAACGTACAAATTACCGAAAATTCTCTTTGCAATCAACGACAACCGCTCATAAATACGTTTCGCAATTCACAAATTAATTTTAAGCTAAACAGTAAAGTTTTCGGTCTGTCTGTTGTTGTAATAGATCGTTTTCACATGAGTCGGCGGCCATGTTTGTGTACAAAAAAAAATCCTGTGGGAATTGAACTCTTTTCACAAGTTAAAAATTTCTTTTATTCCAAGCAATTTGCAAAGCTGCTGACCACGTGACTGAAAACGATCTATTGATTTCTGCCAATTTTATTCAGTGTTCCTCTCGCGTTCATTTGAATGGTCAAACATTGGAATTGCATCCACAGGCTTGTACAGTGGTATTGTAAATTATCACAGCAAAGTACCACGCAGAAACTTTTATTGAATGGTCGTACTTAAGGCTTTTATTCAAAGACTGATAGTTTAGACCCATCTCGTACATCATAAACAAAATCACAGGTTTACCTGAATGGTCGTTCTTAAGGTTTTCATCCAAAGGCTGAAAATTTAGAGACATCTTGTACTCCATAATAAGCAATACCACTGCAAAGTACTACTCAGACGCTTTTATTTTAATCGTCGTACCTAAGGCTTTTATTCAAAGGCTGAATTGACCTTTGTTGTTTTCACCCATCTCTCACAACATAATAAACAATACCACAGGAAGATACTTCTCAGTAGTTTTCATTTAAAAATGGTCATATTTAAGGATTTCATCCACAGGGTGAAAGTTTAGAGACATCTTATACACTACAGCATAATAAACAGTACAACAGCAAAGTACTGCTCAGTGGCTTTCATTTATAAATGGTCGTACTTAAGGATTAAATCCAAAGGCTGAAAGTTTAGAGACATCTTGCACAGCATAATAGACAACACAACAGCAAAGTACTGCTCAGTAGCATTCATTTGAATGGTCGTACTTAAGGGTTTCACCTAAAGGCTGAAAGTTTAGAGACAACTTGTACAGCATAATAAACAATACCAGAGGAAACTATTGCTCAGTAGCTTCTACTTGACTGATCGTCGTAGTAGAATTTCGACGGCTATCAGGTTATCCCGCCAAAATGACGCTGGTTCACCCGCGCTCACTATTTAGTTTTGAGAAAATCTAGTTCTCGTAGTGGTCCTCGTCTTAGAATCTAGTGCCACAAGAAACTGCTACGAAATAGCTTTCATTTGAATAGTCGTACTTAAGGCTTTCATCCACAATCAAACAAAATTAAGGCATCATGGCAAAAACGTACAACAGATAAGCACTTTTCTTTGTACGCGGGCTACGAACATTTAGAAGACGTCGACAAATCACAATACATAGATATAAAATAAGATTTATTTCACATTAACTTACTATAATTAAAAATGCACTCAAACTCTGTACAACTCTTTTAAAAATTTAAAAACTAAAGATTACTTATAAATAATAAAGTGCGGTAACAATGTCGTCTTAAAACTTAAAAATCACATTCTTTGAACGTTGACACAATTAATGCTCACACTACAAAATGATCACACTATGTAACTTAGATATTCATACAAAACTGTTTTCAAATCACTTAGTATCAAATGCCGTTTATTCATAATTAAATAATTATCTTTCATAAATAATGTTATGTTCCTGAGGCTCCTTTCAAAAAAATTGTATCACAAGATTAGATTTTCAACGCCTCGTGTAACTGCATTTTGATATCTGGAGACAAACAGTACGGATGCAACGATGAAGCTTGCTTGGTTTATTTCCAGTTACACTCAGTGTCTATCTTCTCCTTACAACAACCTGTTTTGAAGGATCAAAGAAATTTTTAGTCTCTCAAGTTTGCGGTAAATGTCGTTTCTATCGAAATTCAAGGTGTTAACCATAATTAAAATAAAAATAATTTAAACAATAATTAATTAAATTAATAATTAATTAGTGATGATTTACAATAATTAAAAATATAGACTCTCATTAAAGCACTAGCAGCTTCCTCTTTCCTTAATAGACCTCTTTAGCTTTTACGTTTGTTTTCCCAGTAGAGGTCCGAGGGGAATTTGACCCTTTACGTTTTGATAAATAATGCGTAGATATGCACGTGGATAAGATTAAATTTGAAAGCAACATTTCTCTAGAGTATTATCACATGACCTGTATTGGGAAAAGAAAACATACGCATAAGCTAAAGAGTTTGACATGTTGTTGTGTGACTCTAGTAAACTTACTCGCGGTGGTTGTATTTGTCCATACACCGGAGACGAGCCTCTAACTTGAACCCAAGCTGCACCTCTTACTAGCCGACCTACAGGACAAAATATACGGGCTGGTAAGATAAATAATCAATGGAATAACTTCACAGCTGTCGGTTCATTTATGTTACCTGTGTTGGGCCTCGTTAAAAGCGTTCTGGACGATACAGGACTTGAAGTTTGCCTGAAGAAAATAAACGAAATGAGATCTTTTAATTTTGACCAAAGCCTTTTTTTTCAAATCGTGGGAAAGAACGACGTTTTTAACGACGTAGGTATAAAGACGTTTGAGATATCGGCATAAATTTCAAACCACATTTTTACAAAAAATGTAAATAACTTCGAAATCATACGAGCAAGAGGAGCAAGGGTAGCGCACGGACACGTTTCAAGGAGTTCTTATCAACTCCTAAGAGCTCAGGGGGTAAGAAAAATTACAATTACAATTACAAAATACGACTTTTTTTTCCCCAACTGAAGTTCTTAACTAACAGTGTATAGAAAACCTCCAAGAGACCTATCGCTTCACCGAAGAGCATCACCTTAAATGAGACAGAAAGTAACAAAAGGATTTAACATTAGGACCGTACCTAGGGCCTCTTACGACAGGTGACGACTTGGGTCGCCTGACAACATTCAATCCTTGCATCCATCCAGGCAAAGGTACAGATACATGCTTTACAGAAGCACTGTTGATGTCCCGCCCACCTGCTAACCATCGATCCGCCTGCTTAAACGGAATCTTACTTGGCTGTGTTGGTGATGAGGGTCTCTGTGGGGGTGGGGAGGATGGAGCGTTTGCATTCGCCCTTGTAGTTGCACTCCCTACCCTGGAGGGGACCCCACTGTTTGCAGCCTTTTTGATGACCTCAGGGGTTCTCCAAGCGTTTATTCTCGCATTTTCAGTGTAGGAAACCATTTCTTCCATGTCTGGGGATCCTTGGGAAAGTAGATATGACTCTGCAGATTCAAGCTCATCTTGTGCATCTTCGTCCAGTGTGATATCCTGTTCAGGACCTTGTTCATCCATGTCCTTGCTGAAAAAAAAAGAAGAAAACAGGATGAAGGACAATACCATCGTGGGAATTCTCCGTGGCGTTATCCCATCACTTCGTTCACTACAGGTTTGGATGTCTTACTTAATAATGGGGTATCTGGGTTGATCGCTTCTTCACTATTATTATTACAATATTTTTATGTTTGAAAAATCAGCTAGAAACAAAACTGAAAATTTAAGTCGGTATTTGTTTGGAGTTTAATGGTTAAGAGACAAACTACACAGTGCTGTTTAGGCTTTATGTCCTCTCGTTTGCACCGGTCCCGAGTTGTTTTCGTTAATGGCAACTCAAACTTATTCCATTTCATGTAAAGTAAAAAGCAATCAAACCTGACTTCATGAAAAAAAACCAGATCCTTTCTTATATATGAGTGGGGATTAAAAAATAAACTGTCAACACTGGAAAAAATCTCACAAATTGAACTTAAGCTACCAAGCAGTTTTAACTGCGAAGAACGGTATCAATGTTAGTGTTTCAAAGGAAAACAGCTTTTAAGACCCGTAAAGTTTATAACAAAGCGTTATATAAAAATCAAAATGGAGGAGCTTTGTAGGATAGTACCACAAACGAATGTCAATGTAATATGTAGGAAAAGGAACGTTTGCTTACGAGAAACTGATGTGCTTTTTTTTGGACTTAATAAAGATGGCTTACCTGTTGCTCTCAATTTCATCTTCCACAAGGCAACAGTCTAACACAAAAAGATAACAATATGTGAGACAAAGTCGTAGCCTCAATACTGGCATATTAATTTTAAGACTGAGTGATTTTTAGGAAGTCGAAAAATTTACAGTAGTTACATTTACAATAACCATATTTTTTGGTGATTGGCTAAATTGCCAGGTGACACTTTCTCAACAAATCTGAAAAAAAACGTACATGGCCCCAGCAGCTTCCCCGCTTTTGGGGTCGGCTTCATGTAATTGCTTCAAGTTCCCATTTCTCATTGGTTCACTGGATTTTCTGCCTGCGTTCTCATTTAATAGCGCTTGGCAACGGCTGCATAGTATGCTTTCGCGCCAAAATCAATGGTGACGTGCGTGATCATACGTGTTTTCCCGAGTCATTCGCCCACTGCTTATAGTTGCTTTGAGTTATGCCTGGCTTACTTGCTTATAAGATTTTCCATCTACGTTCTCATTACCAATACAAACTAAATTTTGGTTTGTAACATCCAACAATAACTTATCATCTAAAATAGAGGCTGTTTACATGGAGAGAGAATGGGAATTCCTACCACCAGCATGATCCTAAAAGGCAAAACAACCTTTCGTTGGGTTTACATGCAGAAATTTCAGTCACTAATTGCCACAAAGAGACAAAATTAATGATGGCAAGTGACACACTTGTGTACCAAAAAATAATGTTTGTAAAGGTCAACTCGAATAGCATTGCGACTGAGGAGAACGTCTACTTTCTCCCATCAATCATAAAAGGACAAGTGCACTGCTGGCAGAGAAGCTGTCATGATTCATAATTACATCTTGCGTTGTTCGCATCAGGGTATAAATACAAAAAGAATAAGGTTTGGAAGATACTTATAATAATACAGAGAAAAAGAACTTTAAAATCATTTGTCCCCCATGAGGGTCTTTTCAGGGCTAATGAACCACAGCATTTCAAATAAACGATTTAAATATCTGTTGGCACATTCAAATGACATGGGAAAAACAAGCTGAATGTTAAGCATCTGAGAAACAAATGCAGACAGCGCTCGGAGATAGACTAATCCAAGTTATCCAGATTTCCAACTTTCTTTCTCCATGTAAACAAACGCTAAATGAAGTACATAACTTTTCGCAAAAGACATCCCACTTAAGCCTACATACCCTTCGCTGATTCTGAATCAATGTTAGCCGTCACCACAGAAATGTCAACTGGACTTATCTGAAATAGTATAATAAAAAATAAAGTATTAATTTGAACGAACCGCAGTGCTGCTTACAGTGCGACTACTATAACCAGAGCCACCTAGAACAAGATGACCAATGGGATTACAGGAAAATAACAATACATTCACGAAACTACAATAAACAACTTAGATCAAAATTAACCAATTACGCTGGTACTTTGAGTAAGTTTGACCTGATAAATGGTCGAAACGTGCGTGATCATAGTACGAGTGGTAAAAGGTCCAAACGCGCGTGATCAGATTGTTCTATGCATTCCATTCATTCTAACTGGAAGCCCAAAATGGCTACAATAACATCCTTGTCAAGCACGCGTGATACCTGTGGAATAGGTACCTGACGAAACTACGACGGTGACGGAAAAAAAGCAATAGGTATATTTAGCAAAACAACAACGCTGCACGCTCACGCTGCTTTGTACATTTCTTTGCCGTCCCTGCACAACTACGACGTGAAATCACTAAATTTTTATTTTTTTTTTGAGGACGGGAACGGCAAGGCGATAAATTCTACTATCTCTTTCGGAACTGGGCGCTGCCCACTCTATTCAGTTTTAACAAAAAGTCCCTTCTTTTAAGTGACAGGAAGGCTTAGGAAAATCGCGAAATGGTTTGGAAGGATACGGAGTCTATTTTTCAGTGACGTTTTCATGGACATCGCTGTTGTCGGATCGTAAGGTCCCTATTAATTAGGATTGCGGACTCCTCTTGTCGACCGCAATAATAAACCGATTTAGAGTCATATCACGTTTATGGCAAAAGGCAAGATCAAATCAAAATGAGCAGATTGAAACAGCTCAAAACAACTATCATGCATTAAACTAGCGTGCACCCCACAATGAATTGTAAATGACAAGTAAAGGGAAAAATTGACCAAGTGGTACATTATCCCAGGAAAGCTTTAATAACCTGCGCGCGAGGACTCTTGATCCATGAACGTACATTTGCTCCGAATCTCCTGTCGACCCTTTTATTTTTTTATCTTTACGTAAGTGACAGAAGTGACATTCAACTAATGCTCCAAGTTTTGCAAAAGTCATGGTGAATTTTTGTTCGGTAGCAAACTGCTCGAACAGTTCAAGGAATCGTCCGGATCTATCCTTTTTCTGTTTTCCTTCAGGGCATTTTAGAAGGCTATGGAAAAACTTCTGTAGACGTTGTGATCCCGAATTCCAAAATCAAAAAAACCCTCGGATTTGCAGCGCACACTTCGAGGCTTCATCCATCAAAAAGTCGCTTTGCGGAAGAAAAGAAGTTATTCCAGGTGAATTACCGAAATATTTTAATCCCTCGACCCACCAATGTCGTGTTTCTTCCCGTGAAAAGAGACTGGAGGACAGAAAGAGACGTGCTGTTGATGAAAAATGTCCTGAACCTCAAAAGAGAAGCCTTACCGAGGAAGACAAAGACATTTGTTTCTTAAGCGACGATGCAGCCCTTTTAGATCACAATTATTGCCACCTTCTTCCTAACGACAAAGGAACTCAAACGGACTTTCCTTACGAAGATCTAGAGGTTTTAACCAGTAAAATTGACGCTTTAAAACAAGAGAACGCCGAACTTAAATCAAAGTTATCAAACAAAAAACAATTGAAAAGAGAGCTCTTTGTGGATGATGTTTTGAAAGATGACGAGTCTGTCAAATTTTTTACGGGTATACCTAGCCTTGCTTGCTTTATGATGATATTTAATTTGCTCAAGCCGTTTGCAGAAAAACTTAAGTATTGGGACAAAAACAAAGAAAAAAAAGTAAGCTATCAAAAAGATTCAAGTAAAAAAAAGCCTGGAAAGCAAAGATTATTGACCATTATGGAGGAATTTATCTTAACTTTGGTGAGACTCAGACTTGGGCTTTTAAGCAGACATCTTACAGATATCTTTGGAGTATCAGAAGGATCAGTTAGCAAAGTTTTCACAACGTGGATTTGCTTTTTATCTACAGTTTTTCGTGACATTCTTCTTAAATGGCCTTGTAAGGAAGAAATTAAGAAAAAGTTGCCAAGTTCTTTTAACAAATTTCCAAGCACTCGAATAATAATAGATTGCACAGAGATATTTTTGCAAAAGCCAACATCCCCTAGTGCCCAGAGAGCTACATGGAGTAACTATAAACAGCACAATACCATGAAAGCACTGGTGGGAATCACTCCAACAGGTTACTTCTCCTTTGTTTCTAAACTATGGACTGGAAATGTCAGTGACAGATACATCACAGAAAGAAGTGGTCTACTGGACAAACTTGAAGAGGGGGATTCTGTTATGGCCGACAAGGGGTTCAACATCAGAGATCTGCTTACAAGAAAGAAAGTTGCACTTAATATCCCACCACTTTGCAAAGGTACCTTTCCAATAAAGGGAGCTAATGGGGTAGGGGTGGAAGAGGGTATGCTAAGATAAAAGAGAAGGTCTCCCTGGACAAAGTAAAAA